GTGTAAGGAAACCCCCCCCCCCCGTGCACGAATTATGTGCACTGGGCCTCTAGTCATTAATAATAATAATAATAATAATAATAAACATTTACCCTCATTTTTAAAAACTAAGAAAAGTAATAAAGCATCAGTGCTTTCCGTTCCAGGCCAAGGGTATTAACATTTGAGTTTAAAACCCTCAAGATATGTGCTTGTATCAGCGCAAGCACAGCCTGATGAGAATTGTTCCAAAACAAACCAAAAAGAATAGCAGCAGCACAGGGTTTAGTCAGATCCTGAAGAGGCAGACATTTCAATGTATTTCACTTTGCCAGATTTAGTAAGACACTGCATTTTCCAAAGATAAATGGGTGAAGACAAAACTGATTTTTTTTTTATCAATTAACTAGTACTGTGCTAATATGGTAGCCACTTGCCCTGAAATGTGGCTAGTCTGTATTGAGATGTGCTGTGAGTGTAAAATACACATTGGATTTCAAAGAGCTAGTGTCCAAAAAAGGGTAAAATATGCCCAGCTGGTGTGCTTCAGTGGTTGAGCATCTACCTATGAATTAAGGTCCCAGTTCAATTCCAGGTCTGGGCACATGCCTGGGTTTTGAGCTTGATTCTGTAAGGAGGCAACCAATCAATGATTCTCTCTCATTATTGATGTTTCTCCCTTTCTCTTCCTCTATGATGAAATCAATAAAAATATACTTAAAAAAATTAAAAAATCTATAATAATAAAAGCATAATATGCTAATTAGACTGGACGACCTTCCGGATGAAGCCGGAGCTGTGAGGGAAGCCCGGGCCCCAAGTGCTTGCCGGTGGCTGGAGGGAAGTTGGTGCCGGCAGCCGGGGGAAGGAAGGCCTACTTTTGCACAAATTTCGTGCATTGGGCCTCTAGTAAAATAAATAAAAATTAAAAAAGGGGCCCTAACTGGTTTGGCTCAGTGGATAGAGCGTCGGCCTACGGACTCAAGGGTCCCAGGTTCAATTCCAGTCAAGGGCATGTACTTTGGTTGCGGACACAACCCTGGGGGGGAGTGTGCAGGAGGCAGCTGATCGATGTTTCTCTCTCATTGATGTTTCTAATTCTCTCTCCCTCTCCCTTCCTCTCTGTAAAAAATCAATAAAATATATTTTAAAAAAGGGGGGGTACAATGTCTCAGTAATAATTGTTTTATGTTGAAAGGATATTTGGATATATTGGGTTAAAAATATGTAGTATTAAAATTAATTTCACCTGTTTCTTTATGCTTTTTAAGTGTAGCTGCTTGAATAATTTAAATTACAAATGTAGCTCACATTATATTTCTATTGGACATTGCTGAAAACTTGAAAATTAAGGAGTTAAAATGTGTCATTCTGCTTTATATGCTCTGCTGCTGATTATGGCCCTTAACAAAATGTAAATTAAATTGCAGATAAGTACAAATTTACCATGTCCTTTTTATTCTGTCTAGTGTCTGACAGGAGGAACCAATGGAGGCGTCCACTGTACAGATGTAACAAATGCAAGTAGGACGATGCTTTTCAACATTCATTCTTTGGAATGGGATAAAGAGCTCTGCGAGTGAGTGTGTTTTCCCCTAAGATAGTTTTCCAAATATGTTACATATTTATAAATTTATTATTTTCCGACTAAACTTTCAATGTTGGTATTTCAAGTACAACATGTAACATAGACTTGCTGTGTAGTCTTTTAAGAGAGACTGTTGTTGCATGTACAATAAATATGCCATATTAAGTAATTGCCTTGATTATTCTCCAAGGAAGATTGGGTTCTTTTAGAAAAGTACTTCGGTTTCTGTGTGCTTTTTATTTTTTATTAATTGGCTTGGATAAAATTAGAATGTTAAATATCTAATCATGCAACTATGGTCTGCTGGTTTATTTGTTACAATTTCATTTTATACTCAAATACATTCACTAATTTTTACTTTTAAATGCATATAAATGTTTCCAGATATTTATTTAAAACAGTGTTAAATACCCAGTCTTATCTTATTGTTGTTGTTGTTTTCTTTCAGATTTTTTGAAATTCCAATGAAAATTCTTCCAAATGTCCGGAGTTCTTCTGAAATCTATGGCTTAATGGTAAATATAAATTTCCATTTTCAAAACTGTACTATTCAGAATTTAAAAGTCAATTGTGTAACATTTGATAGTTTGGGGGTTGTGACTTCTCTCTGAACGTGGGTAGTATGTAACTTAAAATTTTAGTATTTAAATGGTTTTATAACTGAAAATTATCGATTCCTTACCAATTCATTTTATATTTTATAAACTTGTATTGGCTCTTCTTTGAGTATTACACTTTTGAAGTATTACTGGGATCTTCTAACTACAGAGGGTGGCATGGGAATATTTGATCTATTTTATTCTTTTAATCCAAATAACTGTTTAGGGGGTGTGGTGTCTGCTTTTAATTTATAGGAAGGTCTCTTCACATTTTAGTGGTGGTCTTTTTTTCTCTTGAATCTCTTCTTTTTCAATTTATTTTTTATTTAAATATAGTAGGTATACAATTTCTTTTAATGGCCAAACCATGTTTTAGATTACATTCTTTGTCAGCCTAAGCAAAACTTTAGCAAAGAAACTGAAAGCAAAAAGAGTCTGTTTCTGATATGTGATGGCTAATTAAACTGTGTTCCATAATGCACATTTTTCCTTTTGCTTTCATTGAAACTTGGAGAAAAAGTAGTTTCAGCAAAAAAAAAAAATGCGCTTAGCATCATTGAGTATCTCTGATTACACATCAGGGATGAAAAGCTCTAGGAGGATTCGAACTGATGTTTGAACACAAAAATCTGGAATTTATGCTAAAAATTAAGAATACATCTAAGAAAAATTGCAAAAAATAGACATGACAAATATTAGAAACTCTTTTTTGTAGTTTTAATAATAATTGAGTTGAATACTAAGTGCTCTGGATAAAGCTCGAGCAAGAATTCTTAAATGTTTCATTCATAAAAAAGCCTTTTACAGCAATATGCAGTTTTTTAAATATAAATTTTATTGATTTCAGAGAGGGAGAGAGCGATAGAAACATCAATGATGAGAGAATCATTGATCAGCTGCCTCCTGCATGCCCCACACTGGGGATCGAACCGCAACCCGGGCATGTGCCCTGACCAGGATTTGAACTGGTAACCTCCTGATTCATAGGTCCATGCTCAACCACTGAGCCATGCAGGTTGGGCCAACGTGCATTTTTTTAAAGGGTTAGTCACTGCTTGTCTATAGTAAAAATGCTTTGATGCTTTTATAGCTGTCTACAAAGTGACTTGAGTCAGTGGGGAAAAAATTATTCTTGAGAAACCGTTTCAGAGGAAGGTTGGAAAAACGAACAAACGTTTAACTGGCCTAGTTTTCTCTTGCATTTAAAATATTATGCTTCTGTCCCCCTTTCTCCCCCTTTGCTGACTATAGAAAATCTCTCATAGCCTGGTGAGTAGGTTTCCCACCAATTATTCTACCCATTCATTTGGAAAAGATACAGTGCACTTCCATTTAGTTTTAAATAAACGGAAGTCCATTTACTAAACAGAGATATCTAGAATCATGACTTCAAATTATTATAAGCTCTAGTCAAGCTTTAGGTTTTTTAAAAATTTTCAATCTTATTTGTTTGTTTTTAAGTTTTCCATAAAACTGGAATTAATGTTTCAAAATAAAAGACATGGGTAGTTTCCTGGCATAAGAAATTCTGATGGCGTCCATTACAAAGTACAGTTGTGATGTGCTTTGGCTTTAGCGTAATAGATAAATTAGATGTGGCTTTTAAATGTCCTAAACATCTACCTTGTCCAACCTTTCAGACCAGTTAGTTGGAAATGCACTGTCGCTTTTTCTGCATGCTTCACCAGAGGATGTTCCCAGAAATCTTCCAGAAACCCCTCCCTGCGAAGAAAAAGGAACTCTTTCTCTGCCTGACCTCACATAGTAGATCCTGCTGGTAGTTTGATAATAATATAAGCAATAGTATAAGCAAAAGCTTCTTTTACTATTTAAATATATTAAGATATATAGCCTCTAGGTTTCCTACTGGTTCACTTTTAGCCTTTTATGAAATTTACTCTTCATTTAATATCCAGCTTCAGTACATAAAAAATAGCAGGTCTTGAATTAATAGGAAAGCATGGCAGAACTAGAATATCCACTCTCTGAGGATGTTTTCTAGTCTGTAAACCAAGCATGTCAAACTCAAAGGCTAACACGGGCCAGATAAACAAGGTTTAAGTTTATGTGGGCCACAAAAAAACAAAAGCTTCAATTTTCATAGAAACGTAGGTTTATTTCAATAGAGACATGCTGAATACAAAGCTGAAATAAATGAGTCATCGTTAACATCAGCTAATGGAACATTTTAATAAATTTTTTTTCTTGAACATTAATTTACCAGACACCGAATAACTGTTCAAGTTAATAAGTGTGACGCAAATAAACCTATTTTTCTTCTCCGAAAGCAAAGTGTTTCCTGTTGCGCACACCAAACAAGTTAGTACAAGACTAATGATGTGGCAACTGCCTGCTAAAATATTCGCTGCTAGTATTAGTGGAGAGAAATGGTGCCCCTGCGTGTAAGGCGCGTAAGGGAAATGAATGCAACAGGATTACAGTAATCAGTCATTCTTTGTAGTTCGTTATTAATAATTATGTATAATAGGATATTGTAAAAATTAAGTTATGGAATTTTTACTAAAACGTTTCTTACATACCGTTATATTGGCTGGGCCACAAAAATATTCATTGTGGGCCGCATGTGGCCTGTAGGCCACGAGATTGACATGCTTGTAGAGGGTTTCCACATATTATGCTATTTCCTTATCATCAGAGCCTTATGAGGTGGTTTCTGTTCATACCCTCACTCTAACAGATAGGGGGCCCAAGGTTCCCCAGAGGCCAGGAAACTGGCCCACAAATGGTAGACTAAGGGGTGAGTCCAGGCTTTTGTTTGGTACACTTCCTACTATATCACAGCTACCTAAGGGAACACATTCCTTTCCTTAATACTAGTACAGATTGCTTTGTGTTAGTGCGTCAGCCATTTAAGTCTTGTTTTTATTCCTGGAATGCTGGCTATGCTTGATCAAAATAAAAACCACTGCTCAAGATATAAATTATCTCTTGCTTATCTAAACTTAAGGAATGATGTTGGCTATGAACAAGTAGTACCCAATACCTGAACACTGTTGGTAAAATGCAGCCTTCCAAAATAAATAAGTTCCGTGCTGGTTTCATAGCTATTAATATGTTCATTTAAAAGAATGCGTTAGTCTTTTGTTAGTAATGGCGATAATAGCAAAGAGCTAATGATTTTCGGTGTTCATGTAGCCCAGGCCCTATTTTGTAGATAAATAAATCGAGGCACAGAGAAGTTTCAGCGGCCTGCTCAATGGCTTAATACTAACTAGCCAGGAGTAGAGCCCACGTCTCCTGAGTCCCAGTCCAGTGCTTCATGTCCATTCTCCAATGCCGTGTCTCTTCTTGTCATTTTAGGACTATGTCTCATGTCTATCTCTGAACCACTCATGTAGTTGAAACACTTGCTTTGTCTTGTCTGCCCCACATGCTCTGGCATGTCACTGTTCATGTTCATTCCCATTGCAGTTATGTTAGTAGAGCCAACAGTTTGTGATTTACTCATAATCCGTTTTTAAATTTTTAATAGAAAGCTGGGGCCTTGGAAGGTGTGCCAATATCTGGGGTAAGTTTCACTGCCTAACATCTTCCTGCTGCCTCCCCACCCTCACCCCTTCCTTCTTAAGGCTTTCCTGTTATATCTTAATCTATCTGCCCCTTCCTAAACTGTGGGAATGAAGTAAGAGCAGCAAAATCAACTAATTCTTGTTCTCATGTGGGTCGGAATCTTTTGAATAAATTAATTTTTACCGTCCCTTCCCATACCTATTGTCTCATAGGGGTATTAACACATGAGAAAATGGCCAACTGAAGGCAATGCAAAAGCATAAATCAGTTCATTCCTTGATAAATAAAAAAGGAAAGATAAATTCTATGGCTCTTATAAAAAGGAAATTAATGATATTGTCTTAGTGTCCTTTATTGTCATTTACACTTTCAGTGTTTGGGGGACCAGTCTGCTGCATTGGTGGGACAAATGTGTTTCCGAGATGGCCAAGCCAAAAATACGTGAGTAAGAAACAGACCTGGGAACCAATGGTGTTTTGTTTTTCCCTTTGGTGCTTTGAGGAAAAGCTTTTGATGTTTACCCAAGCTGAAAACTAATAGCTTAAGAATTCCAATAGGAATATGTAAATTTTTGCCATTTGTTGTTTTTTTAATCCTCACCCGAGGATATTTTTCCATCGATTTTCAGAGAGAGTGGAAGAGAGGGAAAGACAGAGAGAAATATCGATGTGAGAGAAACACATTGACTGGTTGCAACCGAGGTACTTGCCCTGAGCCGGAATCGAACCCAGGACCCTTCAGTCCGCAGGTCGACACTCTATCCACTGAGGGCCATTTGTTTTTCTTTACCTCCTTCAAATAAAATATACTACGCCTTATGTAAACACATTGGTGAGGCTTCTGAAGATCTTAATTTATAACATTTAATTTCTTTTCCAATCCAGAAACTAAATTTTGGTTTACAGTGTTCACGCCTCTTTTGGAGGAAGAGCCATGTTTTAAACTACGATTTTCAACATTGTTCCTGCCCTAGACTTTCTCACTATAACCAGAAAGTCACATTTTTGTGGAACTTTCGATGCTATTCTCCTGGCACTGCGTTCTCTCCATTATCTGGAGTTTCCCCTTTGACAAGAGGCAGAAGGAACAATAGAAGTAGAGATTTGGTGCATTTTTCTCCTAATCTCATCTCCTTACTACTCACACACATAGAGTCCAACAAGCCTCATATCTAAGAGTAATAAGAGTACTCCCACTTTAGGATGAGGAAACAGATGTTCCGAGAGGTTAAGCTAGTTAGTGACAGAAGCTATCGTTGCAACCAGATGCATCTGATTTGACTTTGCCAGGCTCTTAACTCTCTACACTTTATTGTCCCCGGTGTCATAAAGATTTCCATAGGTCTGGCCAGAGACTATCTACAGTTAATTGTTCTTTTCTTGAGAATTTCCTAAATCTCGCGGCAATGTTTAACTTCAGTGATTAAGTTCGTCTTTTGTGACTACTGGAATGTTTAACATTTTAGATGACATGTTCTTGTTGTCTAGCGTGTCAGCAGCCCTCATGCAAGAGTGTGAGAGGTTTTTTTGGGGGGGGAGGGGAAATAATGAAAATTCTTTGCAGGTCATGATATCCTGGGGTTGCCATGAACAAGAGAGCTTGATCAGCATGGGTCTGGAAACGTATTTTTTGAATTCTGGGTTTCAGGCAGCTGAATCAGGAGTCAAGAAAAATGATAGAAACCTGGGCTCTTCTCCCCACCCCACCCCCCACACACACCCCTTCTTTCCTCTGTGACAGGAACACCAATGCTAGTAAATCAGATGCTATCTCCCTTTGTCACGTACTTAACATAGTACCCAATAAAATTGCTTGATTTTCGTCTTCCTAATCCCCTCCCCCTTAAACATTATCAGCCAAGCCCTGAAAATGATAAGTTTAACTAAAGGCGGACTAGTTGAGTACCTCTGTAGCCACTGCAGTTTGGAGAAGGGAAATAGCAAATTAGAATATCTTTGGGCACATATTTCTTTTCCTGGGGGGGAAGAACACAAATATACAGTTAATCATATTATAAATGAGAACTTCAGTGCATAAGAAACTTTGAAGTATGGCTGTTGCGTTCCAAAGGGAGGGAAGAAAACTCACAAAAGATTATGTTATCAATAAGATGTTTTTATTTTTTGTTTTTGATGGGACCATCTATCTTTTTAAAAATCTTTATTGTTCAAAGTATTACACATGTCCCCATTTCCCCCCCATTGACCCTTTCTAGCCCCACCCCAGGCCTTCACTCTATTGTCTGTGTCCATGGTTATGCATATAAGCATACAAGTTCTTTAGTTTATCTCTTCCCACCCCACGCCCCCTGCCTTCCCTCTAAGATTCCAGTCTGTTCCATCTTCTACATCTCTGGATCTATCAATAAGATGTTTTGAGGAATGGGCGATATTGGCAGGTGCATGGAACACTGAACAAAATACAAAATGGGGAAATGGAAGACTTTATTTGGAGACTACAGAGAACATGCAGGTTGGGAAGTGGTAGAAAATAAGGCCAGGATCATGTTGTGAGGCCCTACATTCCAGACTGAGGAGTTTTTTTTTGTTTGTTTTTTCTTCCCTATTTTTAAACAAGAGAACACATCCATTTTACTTATTTACTTTTCAGTAAGTTGAAATCCTTGAGGGGGACAGCATCACACGGATTCTGTGTCCAGTGGCCTTAGCAGGAAGGTTGCTTCAGAATTTGGCATGAACCATGCCTCTGTTTCCATGAGCACAAATTACCTTTCCCCTGATGACTCTGGTTTGGTTCACTTTGCCACCAGTAGTCACTGTGTTGCTCTTTGCTTAGTACACATAAGCACTTCTCTTGCCCAGATAGAATTCTGTTTCATCTCAAGTATAAACACCATCCATTTTAAGAAGATCCGTGTGCTCCCTCTGGTTTCAGAGACTCCATTATAGCCAGAAAAAAATGGCCTTGGACCACAGCCTTCCACACATATTTGTCCTTATAGAAGTCCTATTCCCAGCAGCCTCCACTGGCTCCAAGATGGTGGAAAGAGCCTGAGGACATTTTTCTTGATAGGCAATGGGGTATTTCTTTTTTAAATAAATATATTTTTATTGATTTCAAAGAGGAAGGGAAAGGGAGAGATAGAAACATCAATGATGAGAGAGAATTATTGATGGTCTGTCTCCTGCATGCCCCACACGGAATCAAGCCCGCAACCCAGGCATGTGCCCTGACCGGGAATCGAACCCTGACCTCCTGGTTCATAGGTCGATGCTCAACCACTGACCCATGCTGGTCAGGCAGCAATGGGGCTTTTTTGAAGGTTTGTGATGACTGAAGGTGATGAGAGATGACTAGAGCTGTTTGTTTAATAATATGGCAGTCCTAGGTCAAAGTGAGGAGACACTAGAGCAGCGGTTCTCAACCTGTGGGTCGCGACCCCTTTGGGGGTCGAAAGACCCTTTCACAGGGGTCGCCTAAGACCATTGGAAAACACATATATAATTACATATTGTTTTTGTGATTAATCACTATGCTTTAATTATGTTCAATTTGTAACAATGAAATTGGGGGTCACCACAACATGAGGAACTGTATTAAAGGGTCTCGGCATTAGGAAGGTTGAGAACCACTGCACTAGAGGCAAAGAGGCCATGGAGAAGGCCAGTACAGTATACTCATAAGAAGGGCAAGGACTAAGAAGGTTGGGGACAGAGCAGAGAGTGGCAGGTGAATGTGCATGGCACCCCAGAGGGACAAAATACAGGAAGTATGGAATTTAGTCACCTGTGCCCAGTAGTTGGGCTTAGCCAAAGTAAGGAATGGGTCCAAGTAGAGGAATTTCTGTTTGGGAAATGTTTGTGATACTGGTAGGCTATATATTGTACATATTTGGAAATGTGGAATGAGTTTAGTATAGAAGTAGAGATTTTGAATTTCCTCGGTTTAGAAGTGATTTTTTTTGAAACAATAGGAAGAGATGAAATTACCAATAAAAAAATACACAGGTAGAGGACATACTTAGAAGTAAGGCAAAGAGAGAGTATTCAGGAAAAAAAATACAATGTAGTTATTCATTTATGTGGAAATCCAGGGTAGAGATATTTAAGAGGGAGGCTTGGTCAATAGTGTAAAAAAACTAGAAAAAGATCATGGAGGTTGAGAATGAGAACAGACCATTGTACATAGAAATTAGGTCTTCAGTGGGACCTCCAAGAATGAAGCTTTAGTAGAGTGCTCAAGATGGAAGCCAGGTTGCAAATGGTCAAATATGTGTTGTGGGCAGGTAAAAAAATAGACAACAAGACAGAATGTGCTTTGCAAAAGTCCAACCATCCAGGAATGGTGAGTGAAGTAGGCAGTTTGTTAGGTTAACAAGATCATACTAAGTTTGGAGAATTTTGTTGGTGTTTTTATTTTTAAAAATATATATTTTATTGATTTCAGAGAGGAAGGGAGAGGGAGAGAGCTAGAAACATCAATGATGAGAGAGAATCATCAATCGGCTGCCTTCTGCATGCCTCACACTGGGGATCAAGCCCGAAACCTGGGCATGTGCCCTGACCAGGAATTGAACCATGACCTCCTGGTTCATAGGTCCACACTCAACCACTGAGTCACGCTGGCCAGGCCTCTTTGTGTTTTTAGTCACTGCAAGACCAGAGGATGTTTCTTTGGAGTCTGAGCAGAGAACAGATGGAGGTTGTAAAATAAACAGGAGATAAGTGATTGATGAGCAGAACAAACTCCTAAGAAGTTGGAGAGATTGGGACTGGGAATTTAGTTAATCTTTCTGAAACTCAGCAGGGAACCTGTGACAGTCAGCTCAGAATTCATTGGAAAGCCCATCTCTGTTTCTGGGTGGAGGACCAGATTATGAGTGATGCTAATTTTTCTTTATTTGTATTTTTAAGGTTTTTTTTAATGAACATGAATTATTTGACCATGAATTTTGCTTTAAGAAAAAGAACCTAAGGTAGATACCCCCTCTCCCCAGAGGCACTAAGGGTAATAAATGAGGCCTTTTACCTCCTTCACAGCTTCGGCCAGGGCCACTCCCCGTCCCACAGTGCACCATCTTTGGCACACTTCTCCATGAAGGATAGCAAGCAACCTTTACCTTCACAGAAGTTAGGAGGGGCAGGCATCTTTTTGTGATGTTTGAACACAGGACAATCTTGAGGAAGACCACATAAATGCTGAAAGCACCATATCTGTTGGATGACTCGGAAGAAAGAATAATAAAATTTAAGAGGAAAATAATTGCCCGTGTACTGCTTTGAAAGCTGTGGCCTCAATGTAGCAAGGGAGTCTCTTCATACATTGCTAATGCTCATTAATTACTTAGTAAGTGTACTAACTTAAGGATTCACTTTTACTAAGTGCTTTGAGCCTTCGCATCAATTTTGTACTTTTGAGACTTGTACACCAGCGTTCATAGGAACAATGTTTATATGAGTGCTAAATTGATGTAGATTTCTCCTTTAAAAGTGTGAAACATCATAAATTTCCATTTTTATGAATATTTATTAAAATGTAGAACTTCGGATATATAGCCTTTTCAGTGTTGTAGAAGAAAAAGGTATAAGTGATTTAGGTGTTTAACTTGTAGATGTATTACTACTGTACTTAATGTTATTTGATTGGTGTCTTTAAAACGTAGATATTCATTAATCCCATGCTCCCTGAAAGTGTCAGCTGTGCATCAAGCAGGCTGAGAATATGTTGGGTGTCCCAAAAAAATGTATATACACTTAACAACTGATAGCTCAATTGATGTTTCTTTCTTTTCAGATTTAACCCATTGGGATTAATAATTATTCAAAGTGTGGCCCTAGCCGGTTTCACTTAGTGGGTAGAGTGTCAGCCTGTGGACTGAGGGGTCCCAGGTTCAATTTTGGTCAAGGGCACATGCCCAGTTTGTGGGCTCAGTCCCCAGTGTGGGGCATGCAGGAGGCAGCCAATCAGTGATTTTCTCTCATCATTGATGTTTCTATCTCTCCCTCTCCCTTTCTGAAATCAATGAAAATATATTGAAAAATAAACAAAAAATTAATTAACCAATAACAAAAAAATAATATTCAATGTGCATATACATTTTTGGGGGCACCCTGTATTTGGGTGAGAAGAGATAGAATGTCTT